TGGATCATTGCTATGACAGTCTGCATCCCAGCTAACAGCCTGACTAGAGTAGCCGAGGCTGCTTTGCTGTGGTGCAAATTTATCTGTACAATGTGCACCCGGGTTGCAGCCATAATGATGATTCTTTTCCTGGTACTTCTATGTACCCTTCTTCTGACTTTCACCACGGTCTTTCGCAAGCAGCTTGACAGTTGCTTTTTGAATCCCGCAGTGCAGTCTGAAGTTGCAGGCTTTCAGAACAGAGAGTGATCGGTCGTCTATCAGCGCAACGAAGTGGGCACTTTTCGCGTCCCTACTCTCACTGCCCCGAGCGACAACCCACTCTCTGGCCTGCAGTCCTGCATTTTGTTTCTCAAGGAAGCACAGTGCTTCTTGAGCGGTTAGATCTGGGTCTTCCACGTGTAGTACAACCCTGTGCTTCTTGGGAAGCTCCGAGGCTGCGACCACACGTACAGTAAGTCCAGCTATTTTGTTTTCGGGGAAAAGGCTTTTCAGCCAATTTCCCGTTTCCTCATCAGTGCAGTACACCATCGCCACACCTTCTCTTTCCCAGACACCGTTGAAGGTGGGTGCTTTCACCCCGTCAGGTAACGCCAGAATGGCCCTCTTCAGGAGTTTCTTCACCTCCGTTACCTCTTCAGTGCCCAGTTTCTGATCCGGATATGACTCCGGCATAACTGCAAACTTGAATGAGCTCGTAGTGTTCTGAGCATATGTGCCCTGATCCTGCGTTCTCATTCTCTTTTCTTTCGGTCTGACTGAGGGGCTTGGCGTGGTACGCTCCGATGGAAGGCGTTTTATTGCCTTTCTCACAGCCTCCTCCCCCCTTCCCTCATCGACCTTCGCTGCTGCATCCGTCAAGGTTGCAATCGCCCCCGAGGTTTGATGCAGCTTCGCTCTCTTGCGACGTCTTCTCTCAGCTCCACTCAGTCTGACCCGATTCACATCGGTACCAGACTGGTCAACCTTGTCAGACTTCGTGTGTTCGCCATCGCTGGCCCCACCCGAACTTTCTTTTTCAATACTGAGATTTTTTAGATTGGTTTCCATTTTTGGTCTCACGAGTACCGCGGTTAAGCGTTTTCCCCTGGTGCATTGCCGCGATTGCCCAGGGCTTGGCTTGTCTCGGATGGGTTACACCCAAGACTATTCTCAGAGGTCGCCCAGGTTTCTGAGAGGCACCGTTAGCGACACAGCTTCCCTTGTGCCACGCATCCTTAGGCACGGTATGGCCGAGGCCATGGCTTACGCCGCTCACATACATGGATTGGGTGGATTCCTCTTAGCGAACGCGGGCGGCGGTAGTCCTTAAGACCCCCACCGCCCGCGACCGAGCCCCCTCACTAACGACAAAGTGGGAACCCCGTGGAGGGGGAGTTGGTATTCTTGCGTCCCGATAAAATCCTATACTGTACTATAGGATCTATAGTATATGCTTTGGCTGAGTTCACAGTATGGCCACAAATACGATGGCCTCAACGTTGCCATGTTCTGCCATTAGTTTCCTCTTACGTAACTATCCCAAACTATGCCATACATTTTCAATAATTACAAATAATCCCTGTGGTGACGGCTAATAAAATTGTGGGGATATGTTCCTGAAATATATACGGTTCTATTAGTGAAGCATTTGGATTTTTATTCCATTGTCAATTATTTTTTTGTGATTTTTGAAAAAGTGGTGCCATAAGACTGCATTAATGACACATTTTTCATATTTTCTCCTCAACAATCTACGTGGTTCAGCGTTTTCGGACTTAAAGAAGATATTCTCAAAATTTCAGCTCTACAGTCCATATCCTTCTACTCCCATGTACTTACTGCGGAAGTCCCTTAATGACGAGAGAATCAAAATAAAGTTAAAAAAAACGTAAAAAGTTCATGTCGAGGAATATCTATAGAAAATGTCTCAATAGAAAAAGTTGGATGCAAAGATGAAATTCCACAGATTTTTTCTCTAAAATAGTTTCTATCGTGAACAAAATATCACGAACAAAAAAAATTGTAACTGATGATGCATGAAGATTTAATTATTCATTCCTCATGATTATTTGTTGTGAAATCCATGGACTTATACTGATTATTCTTTATTCAGACTCAATAGAACATGTTAATTACGGATTTTAGATTAACGACCGTAATTTACTACTACTAATTAACGCCAATAAAATTGTTGACTTTTTTTTTATAATGTCTTTTATTTTCATCAATTCGTCATGTATTCTCACGTTTCAGTGGAACTGTGATAGATACAATATGTGAATAAAAGCATGTTTCAAATATAAATCGATAACGAACCGTTTCCATTCATGTTCAAAAAACTCCCCTTTCCTCAGCCATTAACGGTCATAACAGCAATTTTAATTAGAAATTAAATGAAGGAAAAAATTCAGAGAAAATCATTCTTTCATTGGAAACGTATCAGACGCGCGAGTTAGTGGTTAGTCGTTTTAACGACCAAATAAGCGTAAAAAGCGGGTTGGAAAAGGTGAAAGTTGGAAAAGCAAGAAGATAATGATGAAAGGAGCGTGAGAGAGTTGAAGGGTGGAGTGATAACACTTTATGAATCAGGGGATCGTAGAAAGAAAGACGGCGTGAGGTGATAGAGGTTAGGAGAATGGTGGGCAGTAAAGCGGTGAAGGGGGGAAGAGGGCGCAAAAATGATGACTTCAGAGATGGAGATGGCGCCAACCAGGATAAAACACCCGGGAGAAATAAGGAGAAGGGGAACAGGGCGGAGGAGCCATCTGGAGAGAAAAGAAAAGGTAGGAGAAAGAAAAACTCGGAGGGTAATGAAGAGGCACTGAGGGACAGGTCGATAACGCTCAGGACGAGTAGGCGGGGCACTAGGTCAAAATCGAGGATGGACACAGGGAGTGTGGAAGTAGGTAATAGTGAAATGATAAAGATAGTAGAGAGTACTGGGGAAGAGGAAGGATTCAAGGCTTCAAAAATCCTACCGAGAACGCCGGAAATCAGTGCTAAAAGTACGGAGGCGAGAGAGTCATCAGGATTACCCGTGGAACAGGCAGAATAAGATGAGGAGGAAGAAGAGACAGAGGATAAGAGTGGGGAAGTTGACGCTGTTGCCCACCACGAAAGTACACTGATGGAAAACGAAGAAGAGGGAGTAAGGCTTAAAGGTTTAAAGGACATCTCACCAGTTTTACCCTCGGAAGAAACTAAGTGTCGTGCTCAATTCTTGCTCAATTGGCTAATAGACGAATCCGAAATGGAAAAAAACTCTAGTGATGAAAACGGTCGAATAAGGTATATCCACTCAATTGAAGAAATGTAACATCTAGTTTCTTGCTGTATCTTAGCTTTCCTACAGGTAAGCAGCCTAGAAGATGCTCAGCCGACACTCTTGACGTTGGAAGAAAGAGAAATATCAGAGTCACAGGAGGCAGAGGCAAGGAAGAAGAAAGTGGTGGACAACACAGAGTGTAACGGTTGAGGTTAAGGATGAGGTCAATGATGGTAGTAGGGAACAGATAGAACAGCTCCAAGAGGATGGGACCGGTGACGATCGCGGAGGACTGCAGGGACAGGTGGAGGAGTCGGAGGTTCAGAGAGTGAATGAGGTAAGACGTAGTGAAACTCCGTCATCGATGGGCTCGATGGGCGCGATGAATATTGATAGTCTTGAAAAGTGGATGAGGGATTGGGAAGAGAGGCAGAAAGGAGAATGGGAAACCAGAATGGCGGACTTGGAACACCTGATCAGGGAGGAGGCAAGAAAAGGAATTAGGAAGGCCAAATGCGAGAGCTGTGATAGGAGGGAAGTAGAGAAGGAAACAATGACCTGGAGGGAAGAACAATTCAGGGAGATGCAGGAAAGAGTGAGGCAAGCGGAGGAAGAGATAGAAAACCTGGCTGGGCAAGTAAGGGAATGCAAGGGGATGGCGGACTCGTGGAGGCTGAAAGCGGAGGACCTTGAGCAGACAAACAGGAGAATACGAAGAGAGGATAGGGATGAAAGAGTGGAGAGGCATCCAACCCAAGTAGCCCCTGGAATGGCGCCTGGAAGTTCCCTAGAGGGGAGGATTCACCGGGACATAGAGCAGAAAGGTGCCAGAGGCGATGGGGTCTCGACAATTTGGAAGAGCAAAGAGGAAATGATGCAGGTTTTCAGACTGATGGAGAAGGTGGAGGAAGTTCTGAAGGGGAGGAGGAGGAGTATGACTGGGCACAGGACGATGCAGGGTACTGGGAGGATGAGTACGAGGACGAGGAAGTTAGGAACGAAAGGGAGGCGGAAGTCCAAAATTGGGTAGCTGAGGACCGGGATGCGGAAGAAAGGGAGAGAGAGGAGGCAGCAAAGTACTATAATCCTCCACCGAGAGCACTGGAAGAGGAGGAATGGCAGGCTGAGACAGAAGCAAAAAGGGCAAAAAGAAGGAACTTCATTATTGAGGGGCTGACGCTCATCACGAGGACAAAGAGGTTGGAGCTGGAAAGCTGGTTCTATGAGGCATTTGGAGTGAGAACAAGGATAGAAATGATGGACAGAAGGGAAGGGGGAGGATGGTTAGTAAGAGTGGAGGAGCTGGACCACAAGAAGAGGATAATGCTGGGTAGGGCAGAGTTGAGACGAAAGAGATGGGGGTGTACATCTATGATGATCTAACAGAAAGGCAGACGGAGGTGCAGGAGTGGCTAGGGAAGGAGGCGAGAAACTGGAGGAAGAAGCGGAGACAGGCCGAGCCAGGATACGAAAGCCTTGGGGTGGATGGGGCTTGTACGAAGTGGGACGATAGAAGAGGAGAGCTGAGAGCGTGGGATAGTGAGGGGAGGAGGGGGAGCAGGGGGCCCTTTTAATGAGGAGGCAGGCAATGGAGAGGAGGGCAGAACAAGGGCTCAGGATAATGCACTGGAATGTGGAAAGCGTCAGAAACATTGGAAAGAATGAGGAGGAATGGAGAGAAATGGATATAGTAATGTTCCAAGAAACTCATCTGGAGAAAAAGACGATGTGGAAAATGATAGAGAAGATGAATAAGCAATTCTAATGGTTCGGGAAGGAGGCAAGGAGAGTGAATAAACGAGGAAAGGCCAGTGGGGGTCACTTGTTGGGGATCGGGAGATCGCTGGAAGCAGATTGGACTGTAGAGGAATGGGAATATGGGCTCATGGTGAAGATTAAGGAGAAGGGCACTGAAGTGAGCTACAGAGTATTGAGCACATATCTTAAAGATGGGAAAAATCCGACGAAAGCTTTGAGACAAATGGATGAACTGGTGGAAGAATTGGAGGGGTCGAGTGAAAGACTGATCATCGCTGGCGATCTGAACGCGAGGATAAGAGAGCTGCAGGGGGTGGCGGAGTGCGGAATGGAACGGGAATCATACATAAGGAAAAGAAACTCGCAGGATAAGACAGTAAGGACCGAAGGGGTAAGGTTAGTAGAATGGTGCGAAGAAAGGGCATTGTTGATACAGAACGGAAGGGCCAACAAGGATGAGGAGGGGAGTATAACGTTTATAGGGGAAGGGGCAGGGCTGGGAAGTGTATTAGACTATATAATAGTTAAAAGGGAGGGGAGGAGGCCCCTGAGTGGTTCTGGGAAATGGTGGTAACGGAACAAGAAGGATCGGACCATCTCCCTGTTGTCTTCAGAGTGGAATGGGACAGGAAGACGGCTGAAAGTGGGGGCAGCAGCAGCAAAGTAAAGTTGAGGTGGAAAGAAGCTCGGTTAGAGGAATTCAAAGAAAAGTGGAGCGAAGAATGGACGCAGAGAAGAGAGTTAGAGGAGGGGGTGAAGGACAGGTGGGAGAGGCTAGTAGAGGTAACAACCAAGGCAGCACACGATTCGAGGATGATTTCGGGGCGAGATCCATCGAGGAGAGCACACTGGGATAATGGGGAATACCAGAAAGGGAGGAGGGAGATGTTTCGGGATCTGAAAAGGTTCAGGAAGAAGCGGAATTGGGCTTCTAAATGGAAGTATAACGAGACCAAGAGAGTCTTGAGAAATATTAGGAATCGGCTGATTAAGGAATGGATAGAGGACAAACAAAGGAGTGTGGCAGCGAGTAGGACGATGGCGGACTGGTGGAAGGCAATGAACTGGTCCAGGAAAACAAGGAAAAAGGAGATAAATAGGATCACGGATGAGGAATGGCTAACTTATTTCAAAGGCTTACTGGAAGCGAAAGAGGAGAAGCAAAAGAGACAAGCTGATGCAGAGAAGGAGGGGAGGCGGAGTATAGAGGAACCACTAGAGGGACGATTGGACGAAGGAGGAGGGGAGGTTGCTGGAAATAATGAAGAGGACGCAGAAGAATCAGAGATGGATAAAGAGCCAACAGACTGGGAGATCCGAGAGGCAATAAATCAGTTGAAGCTGGGAAAAGCGGCAGGACATGGTATAATGGCGGAATTCTGAAGAAACTTACCGGAGGAGGGGAGGAATGAATTAACTGAGATTATCAAAGAATTGTGGAGAAAAGAAGAAATGATAGATAGATGGAGACTAGCCACGATCTTCCCCATCCATAAAAGGGGAGACGTGAACTTGGTGGCTAATTACAGGGGAGTATCTCTTCTGGATATAGGATATAAAATTCTCGCGACAATTATGACTAGCAGATTGGGGAGATAGCTGGAGGAAGAAGAGAAGTTGTCGGAAGCGCAGGCAGGATTCAGGAGGAGGAGAGGCACCATGGAATAGGTATTTGTGCTAAATACCTTGATTGGGAGCAGGCTAAAGAGGAAGGGAGGGAAGCTATATGTGGCGTTTATAGATTTTAAGGCAGCTTTTGATAAAGTGGACCGGAGGAAGCTGTGGGATAAGATGAAGAGATTGGGAATTAAAGGGAAATTCCTGAGGATGACCCAGAGGATCTACGAGGACACGAGGAACAGGGTGATAACGGGAGAGGGGATGACAGAGGAGTTCAGAACTGGAAAGGGCGTGAGGCAGGGATGCCCGTTAAGCCCTATACTGTTCAATGTGTTTATTCAGGAGATGGTGGAGGATTTAGAGAAGAGAGGAGATGGAGGGGCAGCAATCGGGGCAGGGGCAGGGGTGAAAGTACACTCTCTATTGTATGCTGATGACGCGGCACTGGTGGCAGAGGATGGGGCAGGGTTGGAGAAGATGCTGAGGACATTGGAGAGATGGGCGGATGAGAATTGGATGGAGGTGAGTGTGGCGAAAACAAAGGTCATGATCTTCAGGAATGGGGGTAAAAGGAGAGACGAGAGTTGGAAATACAAGGGGAAAGTAATAGAAGTAGTGAATGAGTTTAAGTATTTAGGGTTTTGGTTTACGACAAAGAATAAATATGGAAAACATGCAAGGAAGCTGGCTGGGAAGGCTCAGCCATTGGTGAACAAGGCTTGGGGGGAGATGACAAGGGGAAGACTGAAGAATTTGAGAAGGAGGCTTTATTTTATGGGGGTGACGGTGAAGGCGGCAGCATTATATGGGGTGGAGTTATGGGGATGGAAGAGGCAAGAAACAATTGAGAAGGTGCAGAAAAGATACACGAAGGCCAGCATGGGACTGGCTAGGAATACGCTAGACTATATATGGAGAATGGAGACCGGAGGATACAGCGTGGAGATAGAGGCGTTCAGACAGGCAGCGGCCTTTCTGATCAAGCTGAGACAGATGGACGGAAGCAGATGGGCAAGGAAGTGTTTGGGAGAGGAATTGAAGGGGATTATGAATGGGCAACCCTCCAGTTGGGGAAAGGATGTACAGGAGAGACTAAGGGCGTTGGGCGATGGCAAATTTGTGGAGAATCTATGGGCAGGCGGAGAGGAGGAACCAGAAAAGAAGCTGGCGGAGATGTTGGAGATAATGGAGGATCAGGAACGGCAGTTAGATTGGGAAAGGTTAGAGAGGTCTACGTACTGCGTTTACTACAACGAAATTAAGGAGAATAATGATATGGCTGAATACTGGTCGAATACGAGTCTGAAGTTGGATCAGAAAGTAGCCTGGGGGAGATGGAGATGCGGACATGTGCTCATAGGAGGGAAGAAAGGATTCGATAAAGAAGAGTGCAGGGCTTGTGGACGGGAGAAGGAGACCCTAGGGCACGTGGTGGGACGTAAGATTTTGATGAAGAGGCTAGGCCCACAGGATGGGAAATGGTGGGAAGGGTGGAGAAAGAGGAGCAGCGGGTGACAATGGAGAAGAAGAGCAATTGAGATGTTCAGGGAGCCCCCCACGAGAAGATCGTGTGAGAGGTTGGGGAAATTGGAGAAGACGCTGAGGAAAGAGGGGAAGCAGCGGACGGACAGGCAGGACGGAGGACTTCAGGGTTCCAATTCGACGAAGTGATAAAGTGTGATAGGGAGGAAGTAATAAGATATGGCGGTAGGGATAAGAGGAGGGGAAACTAAATGAACCAAATAAGCTAACCAAATCTAAAAACATATGAATATATTAGTATTATTATTGTTATCATTATCAGCAAAGAATTTATGTAGTATGGAGGAGAATGTGAGGCGGAAGCTGAATCTGATGTAAAACAAAGAAGAAACTTTTGTAACATCAAAGGAAATAAATAAATTGAATTGAATATAAATCGATAACGGAAAACCTCTCACCTATTTTTTCGAGAAAAATCTATGAATCTTCGAATAAAAACGAAAATTTCCCTGAAAGGAGAGATTAAAACACCTCTCAGATATTCATTTCGCACTTCGATGATGTTATATGAATCGTCATGAACAAAAAATGTACCTGATGAAGCATGAAGATTTAGCTTTTTATTACTCTTCATGATTATTCGTTGTGAAATAAATTGATCACTCTTTATTCCGACTCAATAAGCATGTTAATGAATGACTTCCGAGTCGTTATATAATCGCTTCAGACCCAAAAAAGCGTGAATGTTATCCTGAATAAAGCAGATTCGTGGAAAACTAATCTGAGAACCGAAAAACACGAGCCGATCTTCGTCAGCATAGTTTTTAAGTTTTCTATGTTCATGGGGTATAATTTTCCCGCAGTCAAGTTGAAACGATAATCAGTTCTCATAATGATGAATCTGATATCTTTCACGATGTCACGTGGCATAGCATGCCAAGGACAGTTGCAAACAGCGACAGAAAGATTTTCAGCATTTGCACTCAAGTTCTCACCCACATAGCTGTACATAAACAGTTGGACATAGACGAGATAAATTCTAATTATGAGGCCCGATATGATGACGAAATCGCCGGAACCCAAACTCATCAGCAGAGCAATTCCTACAAAGTGAAATTATGAAAACCTCGAGAAAAAATACTAGTGAAATGCGGGAAGAGCTTTGCACCATGAATTCTCTTGCAAAAATGGAATGGAAAAATCTGAAGGATCTGGATGAAACGAGATAAAATGATCATATGAAAAAATTTAATAAAAATTCTATTGATTTTCTATTCAAGGAGATACCAGAAACCCACGGACTTGACAGCGATGACTTTGTGGAATTAGTCTTCAGATAACAACGCGAAAATGATCCGATACCCGTCATTGAAATTTATTCGCAAGCTTTTGCACAAGTTTCTGGAAAATTTCCTCTCCATGCACGGAAAAATTTAATAGAAAAACTTGGCGAATTCACAAGACAATTCTATTGGGTTTCTATTGAACTTTTCCATTAGTTTTTGGCCAATTGGCAATTTGGC